AGAAGAAGCAAAACAATGACAGAGGAAGAGGTAGCGATGGAAATGGAAGCTGTAGAAGCAGTTTATGGCGAAGAATGTGTGATATTGGATTCATATCCTCCTCATCTTCACCTCCATATTATGCCCCGTACCGCCGAGATCTCTTCTCAACAGGTTTTTCTCCGTCTCCCATCACTTTTATTACTGTGCTATCTTCTTCGGAATCGAGATTTTGAGCAGTGAGATTGGCAGATTAGGGTTTAGGATTTGTTTGGTGGATCGGGAGATCTTCAAAATCAGTAATTTGGCTTAGACTAGTTTCGATTTTATGAAATAGACAAGTTTTTGAAGCTTTAAGTTGATGCAAATTGGTTTAGGATGCTTACAAGTTGCATTTTTGTGGCTTTTGATTTGCCCAAAATATATAGTTTTTATGGAGCAACAACTTAATGATCATCTGATAACTTATTTGATGACATTGTGGGTAACGCTCTCACCCACCGTAGTTTCGATCTGCAGTTTGTGGAAGCGGTTGTGAGTATACAAGCAGGTTCTAAGGTATGTTTGGTTTCAGTGTGTCGCTTCTTTTTCCTTTTGAATTATAGCTAAAAGGTTGTATCTTCATTTGTTATTACAGTATCCAGACGAACCGCCTCGAATTAGCCTGATTGAATCCAAGGGTCTTGATGCGCAAAGGCAGAAGCATCTGATGGACATAGTGCAAGCGAAAGCCTCTCAACTATCATCTTCTCTAATGCTAGTAGAACTTTGTGAGGTAAGATACTCTTAGTTAGAGCTTTTCCATCATGCTACTGCATTCTACTTCATTGTCTCTAGATGAGAAATAAACAACTGGGAGATACTGTGTCTAGATTTAGCGTAATTAAAAGAAAGAAAGACATGATTATTAAGAAAAACTAAGTTTGCTGAATCACAAGTAAAAGATGTGCATTTGTTTAAGATTAGAATATCATGTAGTTGAAGTCTATAACAATCATATATGTTCCTAGGAAGCAGTTGAGAGGCTCACGATTATGAATCACCCGGATGGAGATTGTCCACTGTGTTTGTATCCGTTATTCCCTGAGGATGGCGAGAGTAAACAAATGCCATTTATGAAGCTCATGTCTTGCTTTCATTGTTTCCACTGGTAAGGGAATCGTGAACCTCGGTTACAATTTTTTTGTTATCTCTTGTTTTGGGATTATTACCCATTGTTTAAGGTGTCTAATTGTTCTTTATTGATTTCAAGTGATCAGTGAGTGCATCATTAGGTGGTGGAATTGGATTCATACTCAGAAAGAAGCTGATTCAAAATCTGGTGACACTAAACATATGTACAGAGAAACAAGTGATCAAGAAGGTTTGTACGGTAAAGGTCTTAATTTGTAGTTCTCCGAGGAAAGTTTGACAACATAATCTAAATAAGTAAGTATTGCAGGTAATTCTGGATCAGTCGATAAAAGCATGGGAAACTGTCCAGTGTGCCGCAAAGTTTTTCATGCTGTTGATATTGAACATGTTCTCGACTTAGTCGGTGCTCAGTCATCTCAACAGGTGAGTGAGCCACTAATCCAGATCATTTTTTTTTGCTTTGCATTGATTCAACCTTCAATCCACAATTCAAGATTCAACTTTTATAGCTTTCATGCTTTGGACCGAACAGGATTCTGGTTTGGTACAAGGTGAGGACAAAGACCCTTTGCTCCAGTCAGATTCAGAGAAGATCAGAAGAGAGTGGTTTGAGGCTATTCTAAGGACTCAAGAAGAAAAGGGTGGTCTGGTTCAACCGAAGAAAAACATATCGGTTGTGCCCGGTATGTATCTTCCTCCACCACCTCCTGCATCATCTTCATCTGGCCAAACTCAAGAACAAGGAGAAGTAGAACCCAAAGAAGCTGAATCAGAGACAAACTCTAGCAGCTCCACCAACAGGAGAGGCCGAGGTAGAGGCCGAGGCTGGGGACATAATGTCAATAGAAGGAAGCAGAATTCGCAAGATCCAAGAAAACCGACGATGCAATGGGTCCAGAGAAGTTAGACAAAAATCATGTATCTATTTATTTTATATTATCTCGAGTGAGACATCAAACTCAAACACAAAACACAAAACACAAGAGTATACTTCGTATTAGATATAAGATATTCAGCCAAAAATCTTTCCATTTTAAGCACAAAGACACCGGTGTAGTCTTTAACGCCAAAGACTAATCGTTTCTAGTTCAATCCATGTAAAGTCCCCGGATTTTAAGCGCAAAGACACCGGTGTAGTGTAGGTCTCTCTGGCTAAATGATTGTGTGATAGAAAAACTCCCTCCTACCAAAGAACCAAGCAAGTGAGAGAAGTAGGGATGTTCTGTTCAATTTTGCCGGTGCATTACTCTAGTTACAGTATTTATTTTTGGGCTTCTGCGGATAGGGAGGGAAACGTGGTCTTTAGACCTTTATCTTCTTAAGTCGTGCAAGACGAGGCGTTGCTTATGTTCATAGTACTCACGATCATACAACAATAACTTAAGTCTTCTTTTTCCCTGTCCTCACCGGAAGTGCTAGCGCAGAGAGTGGCAATGTGTGGATCCCAAACCAAGAAGAAGTTATGTTGAGGTTAATGGTATACAACTTCACCCATGTGTTATTGCCTGAATCAAAGGACCATATGAGTTGGACTTGGTCGGGACGCTTCTTCTGTGTTACGCAGAAACGGTCATTGAGGCTGCACATGGCGATATCGTCAGGGTGGTCGACGACAAAGGGAGCTTCTTTAGACAAGACTTGAAAAGTTTCGGTGTGAAGATGGAAAGATAAGACCATGGTTTCTTCTTGACCCTCGGTGAACCAGTGGAGTGACCCGTCGAAATACAGAGGTTCTACGTGAGCGATAACGCGAAGCGGGGAAGAAGGGACGTTGTCTAGACCCAGTTCAGAAGAGTTGTATAGCTTGTATGTGTCCAAGAAAGTGTCCTTACCGAATCCGAGCAAAGGGAATGGGTACGCAAGCTCAAAGAATCTGCCTTCCAAGTCAAGAATGAGCTGTTGGAACATGGAGGGAGGAAAACTGCGGGTCCATCTAGTGGTGGGATTTGCGACGATACCCGGACTGTAGAGACCGTAGGCGCATACAAGACCGTCGCAAGTGGTCTGAGAAAGGGAGGTGCTCTTGGTAGTGATCTTGAAGCTAGTAATAACAGGTGAATCCAGCACTTGAGCGTTGGGATCAGCATCAACACAGGACGGGTAAAGCGATTTTCTGGAACCATTTGGATTCGACTGTGGATTTCCATTGATTCGATACACACTTGAACCTGAGAAGCGATTTCGCCGGAAGTCTCTCGAGGATATGTTCTACCACATGGTGCGGTAGCGATTTCGTAGTCGAGCAGCGATGTAGTTTTTTCATTCTCTCGTCTGAAATCGTTGATACACACACCACTGATCAAGGGTCGTCCTCTTATTATTATACAAATCGGCCAACAACGATGAATCAAGTCCACAAGCTTAAGAAGAAGGCCTTTTGAAGATAAAGAACAAGAGTCACTCACGTGTGTGTGTCACGTGATCATTGTAATAAGTAATAACCATTCCTCTTCTTTAAGACTTGAAAAAACCTCTGACTCACCTAGAGTCTTCAGTATACTTGGTCAAA